TCAACCTCATCAGTAGGTTGCTTGAGGACTAGGATCAGTCAACAGACAGCAAATGGGATGATCTGTAACATCATGATATTTTCTTTTAACCATCCTTAATGAAAAACAAGCATTTTGCTAAGCATTATTAATTATTACTTTTGAGTAAACACATCTTCATGCGCTTCTGCAAACAGACTGCCATTACTGAGAGTTTATTTCCTACGTAAATGCTTCTCTTCTGCTGAACCCAAACATTCACACATGCATGTTGATTACCTATTCAACATACTACATACATTTTTTGCCTTTTAACTGTGCTTGCAATCTGCAATAACATGCTCCACTTCCTGTAACACTCATCTCTCAAAGGCTGTGGTGTGCTTGACCAGATGTATTCACTAGAGGCGTGATTCACAGCCAACTGACTTTTAATGCTAACGCATAAGAGCTGTAATAATGTACTTGTGGCAAAATATGCTGTTTTTACGGCAATGCTGTTTGCTGAGCAAGAGGCCTGCTATATAGTAGACATTGTTTTATAAAGTGTTTAAAATGATACAATAGTTGGTTCTGGTCCTAGAGTTTGATTAGCTGAGAGTGCTGATATACAGCAGTGGAACTTTGTCAGTCTGTTAATTAGGGATTGTCAGTGATTCCTTCTGTAGGCTAGGTTACATCATAAGGCCGTGTGTCCACCAAAGCATTTTTTTCCCCAAGCTAGTGTATTTTTTCAATTGTTTTCAATGGGAGCAGTTAGGGGAGGGCGATGTGAGCTAAAATTCATATCACGATATTTTACACTGTCCATATATGAGAAAAAAAATTACAGGCAAAATATTTTAACCTTATTTAACTAGAAAAAGTGAGGGATTTTTTTTATTGTGCCATTGTTTTTCTCAAAAAGTGCAAACGTGCAACATGAGGTAGGCCTGTATGAATTAAATTAAATTAAATATTGCGTGTTTGAGTAGGCCAGTGGTTCCTAAACTTTTTCTGCCGGGCTCCCCTTTTGTAGAGAAAAATATTTTCAAGGCCTCACCACCCCCTCTTTTTTTGTTTTTTTTTGGAAAGTCTCTTATGCTCACCAAGGCTACATTTATTTATTAAAAATACAGTAAACACTGTAATATTGTGAAATTGTCCATTTAAATTATATATTTGAATGCTTTAACATATAGGCTACTGTATTCCTGTGATCAAAGCTGAATTTTCATCATGATTACTCCAGTCTTCATTGTCACATGATCCTTTACAAATCATTCTATTATGCTGATTTGCTGCTCAGTAACCATTTCTGATTATTGTCAATGTTGTAAACATTTGTGCTGCTTAATATTTTTGAGGAAACTATTTTTTTCACGATTCTCTTATGAATATTTGAAATGGTCCTTTGTGTCAGAGCGCTGGAGTTCGTCAGAAATAGAACGGGACATCAGTTTACTGTCATGGATTTGTCGTGTTGCGTCGCACCGCATCCACAGCAGAGAACATCAGGGTTCTATTTGCTTTTGTCAAATCGCGCCGCTCGCGTCTGGTATAGACACGTTGTTTTGGTATTTGTGAATCTTAAGTATATTCATAATCTGCTTTACGTTTACCTGGCACTGGAAGTCCTTTCACAAACTTGTAACTTACATGCTTAGGGCAGAACCATGCATCGTTCATTTATATTTCTAAATGGCTGCTTGCAATACAACTCTGATTCTTCAATCGCGCCATCTCGTGGTCTGTTATTGATACAACCACAACTGCTACAACTGATAACGGAGCGCTCAAGCGGGTACTGCAAGTCATGTTGAGGTCATTAAAATGTCAAATTAATATTTTACATTCAATTATTTACTTATCAGACAAGTGGCCGCATGATAAGCGGGAAAATTACGCAGTGTAGTCTTTATCGTCCTGCAGAGGCTTCTTGTGCAAAATAATCTGCTGACTATACACGATCCCTCAGTTTGGGAGCCACAAAATAAAGTCCAGGCCTGGTCCTCTCTCGTCTTTCACTGTCATCGCTCCTCCTTTTATCCTTCCGGAGCTCCTCCGTGGGACTCGAGACCGGTGAGTGGTGCAGGTGTCGCTCATTATCAATTACTCCACCGGCCTCGCTCCGTTCCCACGGCTCTCGGCCCCGCCCCACTCATCACAGTAAGTAATACAGACTCTCTCATCTCCCTATAGTAAGACAATCTCTGGCGCCTGGTGTGTTTAGCTGGCTAAAAATGCTTTGGTGGACACGCGGCCTAATTCCAGTAGGAATTAATGTTTGAGTGAATCAATGAATCGTTCTCTGAACCAATTCCTTCAAAACACTAATTATTTTATGAACAAAACACATGACTTATAGGTGTGTAGGGCTGGGTACCGAGTTCGATACTTTTTAGGCACCGACCGAATTGCCTCGATACCATCGAGTATCGAAAAACGTCTCGTCGTTCAGTACCAAATTTCGATACCTAAGGGGTTAATCTCGTCAGCGTCAGTGAGCCAATAAGCCTGCAGCACTAGCCGGTGTGTTCGACTAGAAGAGGTACGGCGCAGATCGATCAGTGTGACCGAAAGCGCGTGTTATGTGACCATTCATGCAAACTGTAGCATCACGCTACATAAGACAATAAATAAGATTTATATTCCACTTTTACTCAAAACTCACTTTAAACCACCATCGAGTGTTTGTAATAACTTACGATTGCCGTCTAATTTGTGGTTTGGCCATGTAATGTTGCTGAAATTAAATATGGTATTACCTCTGAGTCAGAGCAGCGATCATGGAAGAGAGAACACAGGCAGACAGCGCTGGAAGCTGCTAATGCTCATCAGTAAATCAGTGGAAAATAAATAGAAATCATGATTCTGTCTGAGCTATCCGTTTTAAAACGAACACGCACTAGTGTAGATGTAGCCTAACAGATGTGTAAACTGAAGACTATTTGAGCTTTATTAAAACTATTTGCACTGATTTATTGTGTTGGTTACATTTTGTTCCTTTGTGCAGTGGCTCAGGAGATGAGTCTTTGAGTTTGTATAAACATCAACAAGCTGAAAAATAAAACCAAAGTTTTTTTTTTTAGATAATGTAATCTTGTTAAAATTGATTTCATAAAATTGGTATCGAAAAAAGTATCGTTCAGGAACCGGTATCGAAGTCAAGGTATCGGTATCGATATCAAACATTTTTGAACGATACCCAGCCCTATAGGTGTGTCATTGAATCCTTAACTTAACCGGTTTGTTTAAAAATGACGATTCATTCATGAAATGAACAAGTCCGTCTGTGAAGCATTGAATTGTTCACTGATTCATTCAGGAATGGAACAAACAACTCTCTTTATTGAGTGAGTCATTGAATCATTCACAAAAATGTAATTGTTCAAAAACACTGATTCATTCAGGAATCAAACACAAATACTGTTTGTTGCTGGGAGACACGACGGTCAATACTGTTTTGCCATTGTTTGGAACTGTTTTCGTTGACACAACAGGAGTAGACAATGTAATATTGTCTCTAAAATGTAAGTTTCTTATTATTAACTTCTTTTTTTTATTGAGCTGTTGTACAAAATGAATATTGTTGAACTTGAGCGATCTCTCCATCAATGCTGATCTAAAGAAAATTGTGACAAAAAACCTGTATGTAGTTTTTGTCAACTTGGGTAGAGTTTCTGACAAGGAAGAAGAGCAAGGAAAATGGGGCTTTGTTTTTTTTTTTGGCCGAAGCTGTTCGCACTCATTTACAACGTCATTGCACAATGAATGAGCGAGTGGATCAGGTCGATCATGAAATTTAGCTCGAGCTCAGCCTCTCTTCTGTAACAGCGGGCTGTCTGTCATCTTTATTGCCTCTCATCTGCTTGTGTCATTAGCGTACTGAGACTGATCTCCTTTATGACATGCTGTTCATCTCTCTGCAAACCAGATCAGTGGCAGCAGCTAAAACATACATTTAGGTCACATGTATCACAACCTGTTGGTTGGGGTGTTCAATCAATAACAGGTTGTGAAGCTTTTTTTAACACAGGAATGATTTGTCTTCATTTGTTCAAAGTCAACATGAACACCATTTTGAACTCATTTAATGTCAATAATGTGACATTGAACCCCCCCAAAGTTTCAGATATTGAAAAAGGTATTACATTTCGATGAAAGATTATGAAAACGTTTTTTTTTTCCTTCGGAATGACGTGTACATACTGTAAATGGGGTCAGTTTTAATTTCATGTTCTCTTTATAATGATTTTCTTGAGAATAGAGTATAGGAGCTATGCGTCTGTATTTCGGCTACATGTTTTGCAGGTTTATTCATTTTTCTTATGACTATACCTTTATGATGTTTCTCTGTGATTGATAATGGGTCATGGGCTTTAGAGGGAGTGAAATCATTTGGATTTCTATTTCTCTGTCTACTCATGTAAGCTGTACTATCAGTCAAAAGCATCCTGGGCTTAACCATGTGAAATTAAAACATTGGGAGGTGGGAACAGCCAAGGGAAAACAACACAAAAACAAAAGCTTCAAGACAAAAGACATTCATTTTATACAAATCAACAGTGTTTGGGGACATGAATAACTTTTTAGTATCAGTAGTTCAAGGGTCATACCTTCTTCTACAAGGGCTGACAACATATCTCTAAGTGTTTTTGTTTTATTTTGTTGAGGCCTGTATAAATTCAGTTTTATTTTAAAACCTTAATTTATTAGAATAGCTCAGCACAGAATTGAAATCATCATAATTTCTTCATATTGTTCCAAATCAGAATGCATTTGTCTTCTGTGTATCACAAAAGGAGAAATTTTGAAGATTTTGACCATGATATATAATATATATTTTTTTCTTAATGTTTTTTTTTTTTTTTTCCTATTGGACATAGAAAGTCATTGTCACAGGCTATGAACTGTTGTTGTGTGTGACCGTTCTTCTTCTGTAGTTTTGGAACAACATGAGTGAATTTTTATTTCAGCCAGAAAAAAAAATTCAACAAACGTTTCTGTTGTCACATCAGTGTTGTATTTCTCTCTTTCAGTGGATGGCTGCATACACAGAGCCGCGGGTCATCTCCTGTATGATGAGTGCCACTCGTTAAATGGCTGTGAGACTGGAAAAGCCAAAATCACCTGCGGCTACGACCTTCCTGCTAAATGTAAGTATCAGCTTGTTGCCCTTATTTTTATTATAATTTTTTTGCTGGAAATGAAGATCACTGAATGCAGAAGCCAAGGGAACAGCAGCGTTCACAAACTTACCTTGTAGTTTTTTTTAAACAATAAGCATGACTTTTAGAGTTAATTACCAGTGTAATGAGTGGGTGTTACCATGCTTCAACTTTGTGACGTTCCTGCGGCAGAGCACCCATTGTTTGCAGCGATGCAGTTCGAGCGCGTATGTGTGATTAATGGAGTGGTATTATTAGTGCGCTGATTATCATGATGACTTGCTGTGGTGTGCTTGGTTGGCTGAAGGGGCCATCTGTACTCCAACAAAGACATTAAGGGAACTATTAGTTTGTAATTTGATTGATATTTCATCCTTGATTTATTCCATTAGCTTATGGCATTCTCTGACTCATGTGAGTGATGACGAGCATCATGCTGGTAGCGGCTGGAAGACTGCATTGCTACGAGGCAGCGTCACGGGATTTAGAATGCGAGACGGTGTCTTGTGTCATGCCATCCGCCTGCTGTGGTGAAGATGTGCTTAAAACATTACCGGACTCTAATCTATGGGCTTCTCCTGAGGTGGTCTGATGAAGATAAACAAGGTCATTGCTCTTCTAAACCCCATTAGATGGTGATTTGCAGGTCGTAGCTGGTTTAAGATGGCTTAACTGGTCTTCTAGCTTCGTCAAGCTTGTGTTCAGTCAGCTAAATGGTTAGTCAGTTGGTTTAGTTGGCCAACCAGCTGTTCTCCCAGTCTTACCAGCCAGTGCTCTTGCATGATGTGGTTTACTGGTTTTAACCAATTTAGCTAGTCTCCCAGCCTGGTTAAGCTGGTTTAGTTGACTGACCAGCTTGTCTCCCATTCTTAGATAAGTTAACTTGTCTCCCAGCCTGGTTAAGCCAGTTTAGTTGGTAATCCAGCTGGTATCCCAGCCTTACCAGCTGACTAGTGTTCTTGAATGATGTGGTTTGCTGGCCGTAGCTAATTTAGCTAGTCTCCCAGGCTGGTTAAACTGGTCAGCTAGCTGGTCTCCCAGCCTTAACAGTTAACTAGCCCTCTTAAATGATGTGGTTTGCTGGTTCTAGTTAATTTAGTTGGTCTCCCAACCTGGTTAACTTGGTTTAGCTGGTCAGCCAGTTGGTTTTCCGGCCTTACCAGCTGACTAGTGCCCAAAACCTGTCTAAAACTAGCAAAACAAACGAATCTAGCAAACTACGCCAGGATAGGAGACAAACTAACCACCTTAGGGGTTACATTCTTGTATTCTTTTATCTGCGCTGTTTTTTCCATGTAAACAGGCACTAGTCTGATATTTTTAACCATTATAACTTGTTAAAATTGGTTTACTGTTTCAGAATGTTCAATGGCTTTGTGCTTCCTCTAGCTTTTTTAAAACTACAATCATACCTCAGCTTTTTTATTTTATTTGTTTGCTATTCTGTATTTGATTTTTCTGTCATTGAAATGCGGAGCAGCTCAAATATCTGTTTTGTGTTCTGCTACCTGTCTGTTCTAACAAGAAGCTGATATTGACTAAATGAGAAGATCTGTGGCTTTCTCCTCCATCCTTGATTTAATGTTATGTCACTTCTGAGCTAAAACAATTGAATTGGATGTAACAGCATCCAGCAACCTTGAAGCAATCTTTCAGACAGTGATGCCTGAGCTAAAGCTTTTTATAGGCTTATCGAATCCTCTATGGCTGGATTATGTGATTCATTAGTGTAAAGGCAGAACCTCGGCGAGAGGAACATACTGTATGTCTCATTTCAGCCCTTAGGAGATTCATCAGCCCCAAAAACATTAAACGAGTAAGCTGCATTTTGTCTCTTTCTGCATCGGCATCATGTCACTTCATTATTTCTCTGTCAAAGCCGACATCTACTGGAAGTCTTCGAGCTTTCCCTCGCTTCTCTCTTCCTCCCTCCCTCTCTCTCTCTGTATACTCTACCCATCGTTTGGTTTTCTTGTGTTGAGCATTTACTCTTCTGTGACTAATTTCCACCCACACACCCATTCTGAGACTGTCTGTGTTTCCATTTTATTTATTTTCTTTTTATCATTTCAGAATATGTTGTTGAGCGCCTTCTTTCAATAATTTCAGAAAGTCTTTGTTTGTGGTTTATTTAATTTACTTATTTTACTAAGTCACGCTGTGTCGCCAAGTGAAGTTTCTACCAGATTAGCATAATGAATTGTAGGCTAGTGGTTCTCAGCTGATTTTGTTCCAGGACAAAGTTTTTATATTGGACATCAAGTGGTGACCCAACATAGTACCAAACTTGTTTATTGCTCAAAAGAAACCAAGGTGTCCCAATTAACCAATTACGAACAATTTCGCAGCAAAAAAAAACAAACAAACAGGCGCAGCAAAGTCAGCTAAAATGTATTAAATTGACAGCATTTTTATTAAATGATTGAATAAATTAACATTGAAACAAACACTGTGCTCAATATTTGATTGATAATAAATGTCATTTACATTTGCAGTAAAATACACTGATGCTTAGCTTTTGATGTCAACAATAAAAGATATGGTAAGCATTTTTTCCTTCCTTTTAGAAGTTAATAAGTCTATTTATAACTTAGCATTATTATTTTATATTTGCATTTAGCAGAGTTTTTTTTTTACCCTACTTTCGGCAACAATTTCTGAACAGACCTGTGATCCATTTTTGGGTTACGACGACACCAGTTGAGAACCTCTATTATTCTTTTATATGTGTATAATTCATGAATTGGGAAGAAATAATTATGCTTTTGGTGAAAGTGCCAAACCAGAGCCCAAAATATAGAAAATAACAATGACCCTTACTTATTAGGGTTGAAAATCTTTAGGTTCCTCAAGATTGGATTCTTATTTGATTCAGTGGGCCTGTGTCTGACTCTAAAATGATTCTTGATGCTTCTCAGGTTTTTAGCAACAGGGTTTATGTCCTTGACTTTCTTTAGTGTTGCACAATGCACACCATACTTGTATTCATAATGTTTTATCTTGTGTATTTTTTCAAGAAACACATCAAGACCTAGGACAGATCCTTGCGGCACTCTATATTTTACTGGTGATAATTGAGATAACTCCCCATTTAAATGAACAATTTAACATCAAATTCAAATTTGAGGAACATTCATAATTTGAGAGCAAATCTTCTTTATGCCATGGTCTTTATGGTAATGGAGGAAGGACACTCACCACAAACAACACTGCATAGGCAAAACAGGCTGGGACAGTTGCCATGGTTATACTTGCAACTTGCAGCACATTATAATGCATATTTATCATCTCTGAGGCTCATTCTGATTGGACACACAAGCTCTCTTAGCATCACTAATTTGTATGTTTGCGTTCCATCGGCATCTGCTGCGAGATGGTTTACTCTGCTGCGCCACAGAGACAACCAGGGAGAGCGGGATGCAAATGGCACAGATGGTCCTTTTACCTTTTATATCTTGGCATAGTCAAATATTTCCAGCATGGGCTTTTTATGCTTCCATAATTTGCCAGAACATGAGTGCTTTTCCCCTCCAATCTGCTCTCAGAAAGTGTATCCCTCTCTTTTTGGTAGAGAGGCAGGGAGAGGGAGCTCAACTACCTCGACCTTTTCTGGAGTCTTACTTGCGGGCTTCTTTCTTCCCTCTGGAATTGATGAGAACAGATATTTTACAGTGTGCAAGGCCACTTTCTCTCACTCTTTCCCTTTTCTTTGTTTCCTTCCTGCATTCCTTCCTCTAGATTCAGTTGACCTCATAGACTGAGGCTCTGAAGTCTCTGGTGATGTAGAGCAGACACCACAGAAAGAAATTCATCCTAGTTTGTTAGCATCTTTTCGCTATAATTTTTGCTGTTGCATAAACAAGCATGTAGCCCATGACAGTCACCAATTTCTTTCTTCTTCTTCTTCTTCTCCTTCTCCTTCTCCTCCTT